TTTACCAGTTTCTAAAAAATGTGGTGGGCAGTGGAGAGACCCTCATGTGTGTTGGCCATGTTCTTGGGTGAACAAGTGGGGAGATGGTGGGAGAGGGAATCTGAATACTTTAGATTTGAAAAAGTTGCTAAGACAGTCAAGTGGAGAAGTAAACTATTCAAGTGGACAAGAAAACCCTTGGGAGAGAGCGTGGAGAGAAGCAAGGAGAGCTTGGAGAAAAGCAGGGTGGACCCAAAGAAAAGTCAACATTTCAGATAGTTTAGAATGAAAATATGTCTCTCTCTCATTTTTAACTTCAGTTAGAGAAAATGCCCCATTTTATTAATAGCAATCATGTATCACTACACTTATGAAAGACAGTCCCTGCGTCTTCTCTTCACTACTTGCAGCCGGTCTGGTCAAGCCTGAGAGCTGATTCTGCTAGTGCCCACTGGAGTTGTGGTAAACTATGGGGGACTGTTTTTGGCAGATTTTACCATAGTAAAATGTAGCATCCTGAGTTAAAGCCCCTGGGTTTAGAGGCTCAAGTCACCCACAAGCAAAAGGTTTTATTTCTCATGGTTTTTTTCCCCTTAATTTTCTCATTCACTGCAGACGACTCACACTCTGAACTTCTTCGAAATAAAATGCAGGTACTGAACCATACTTTTTCTCTATCCAAAGGAGAAAAAACTTTAAAATTGTGAATGACTTTTAGAGTGGTAAAGGCTAATTTTTATAAGTGGGTGTTTTCTTCTAGACATATTGAAAGCACGAGCAAAAAGGCCACCTGTCATCACGTTATGGGTTGGTGTAAGGAAACGGTAGTTTTGAATCGGCCTTTGCTCATAAAGCCTTCTAAGAAATCTGAACTCAGAATGGCAGAGCTGGCAAGGCCCTGGGAGGCCACCTGCACCCGCCCTGTCTCAGGCCTCCTGACAGGAAGCCCGCGCCTGCAAGCTCACCACTCACTCCTCCCTTGCCAACCAAAGGTCTCTTCTTAAAGCCCACTTCATTTTATTTATGTACTTCTTAGAGATGAGGTCTCACTCTGTTGTCCAGGCTGGAGTGCAGTGATTTGATCATAGCTCACTGTAGCCTCAAACTCCTGCTTAAAGCCTTATTTTAGCAAAAAAACAATTCCATGGAGGCTGAGAGGGGCCTTCCAGATTCAACTGCGCACGGCAAGGGCTCTGGGCAGCAGCGGCAGTGCAGGACACAGGATTCGGCTTCGCATGGCAAGGGCTCTGTGCAGGACACAGGCCACGGGGTGGTTTTCCAGACGTCTCGAGTGAGAAGTGTGACGGAAGGCCCTCCCCAGGCCAGGGTACGAACTCCCGTCCCACCCTCAAAACACTATCGGTCCAAAAGACTCATGCTGGGCACTCCAGAAAGGCATCCGACAGAGAGCGAGAGATGCTCGTTTGCCCAGGTTCGTGACAAGACTATTCTGCTCTTTCCTGGCTATTTTTCCTGCCGATCACGCTGGAGCTAAATCCCCAGGGACCATTGTGTAGGGTGACTCTTGGTTGGGAAGAAAGGGAAAAGGTGAAAAAAGCAGGGCAGCGTAGGGCAAAGAGGATGTTTTGACCTGGTCTCGTTGGAAATATACACATTCTTGATATCTCTGTTTACTTCCTGTGACCAAGACTGTCATAAATAGGTAAGAGTGACAAGTTTTACAAGTTGAGACAATGCAAAGGGAAGAGAACTTGGATTTACTGAGTCATCGACAATGGTGACATGACACCAATTTCAACAGTGAGCCCACATGCTGCATATGCTACATGCTTGAGTGGAAGAGAGTGAAGGGAGGTGAGTGGGCCTCAGCCCGGAATGCACTGGAGACTTGCTGGAGGCACAGACACAAGCTCCAGACCTAGGCCCCAGCCCCAGAGCCTCTGAGGTAACGGCAGACAGCATAAACGACCAACAGAAATAAGACTGCTGGAGCACACAAGGGTTTGCTGAACCCTTATTCAATCCTGCTATGCCCAGCATCTGTTTAATTCATGACCAAGATGCTGAGATGGAGGAAGGACGGCCAGAGCAAGAGCAGAAGGAGCCATGAGACACGAAGGCTGGCTGGCCCAAAGGACGCCGGGACATGCTTCCAAAGCAAGCTTTGTTCACAAAACAGAAGGCATTTTTTAAAGAGACGGGGTCTCGCTATGATACCCAGGCTGGTTTTGAAATGCTGGCCTCAAGTGATCCTCCCACCTCAGCCTCTTGAGTAGCTGTGATGACAGGTGTGTGCCACCACACCTGGCTACAAGATAGCATTTCTCAATGGAATGATGTTCACAGCAGAGTCCTGTTTCAGACACAAAATTATCTCCTTGAAAAACAAATTGTGTAATTAAATTTCTTGTTCATTTAAAATGAGCTGTATTTTTATCCTCTGCCAAATCATTTTAAGGATACATAGCTGACAAAAGAAATCTGGTCTTCATAAATTCCATGAATTCTCAGTGTCCGACAGACTTCCAAGTCTAGCCCAGCTTCAAAACCACTACGTGAACCTGAGCACTGCTCATCATGAGTCCCGGACCCTTGTTGGCTGATCTGAGTAATCAGACTCATTAGCTTACTATTCTCAAGCAAATAGATAGTCATTTGACCTTAATAGGCATGTTTTTTACATTCGAGGTAAAAATGTAAAAGTTGGATCAGGGTGTTATGAAAAAATTACTGAGGCACTAAGGCTGAGAAAATGTAGAGAAACTAGAATTGAATGAAGGTGCTCTTTCCTCCTGCCTAGAAGGTCAGAGCAGTAAAAGTCAGAGACATGTAGGAAACTAACTTTAATAGCAAGTGACAAGAGGCAAATCTGTAAAGCCAGTTCCACACTGTCCTTGAGTTCTGAAGCGAGGGTGAGGCAAGGCAGCCTGAACATCTGATACCGGGGGGGTCTCACCCAGCTGCCAGAATGATGCACGCCATGGTGTGCAGAGAGGGGCCATGTTTAACTCGCTCGCTGCATATCCTTCAAGTCTGAACAGCTCTTATACTGAAAAGAGGCTCAAAAGGAGAGAGTGGATGGGCAAAAGCATGTGGATGGCTGGCATGGACACGTTGGCACATGCCAATGTCTTTCCGGTCGCAGGGACAGCACCCCTCTGCACACACAGGGCAGGAGAAGGGGGAGGATTGTGGGGCTGAGCAGAGGCAAGCCTGGGTCTCTGCTTCCCAGGGGGCAGAGACCTCCTGCTCCTGCAGTTCCTATGTCTTTTGTTGGACTCCACGTCTAAATTCTCATCCCTTATTGCCTGACTTTTTGATGACGGCCTCTGTCTCCTAAGATTCCGGTCAAGCTACCTAGTTTCCTGGACGTGGACATGGTCAGGACCTCACCCATGCCCTACCGCTTCCTACCCTTGTGGTTGAAGACGCCCTCTATTTCCATGTTACTTCTGACCCACATCTGCTGTCTGTTGCTGTGCAGTTCCTAACACTGCAAGGGAACAAACATTCTTTTTTTTTTTTTTTTTGAGATGGAGTCTTGCTCTGTTGCCCAGGCTGGAGTGCAATGGCACGATCTCTGCTCCCTGCAACCTCTGCCTCCTGGGTCCAAGCGATTCTCCTGCCTCAGCCTCCTGAGTAGCTGGGATTACAGGTGTCTGCCACCACGCCTGGCTAATTTTTTGTATTTTTAATAGAGACGGGGTTTCACCGTGTCGGTCAGGCTGGTCTGAACTTTTGACCTCAAGTAATCCACCCGCCTCAGCTTCCCAAAGTGCTGGGATTACAGGCGTGAGTCACCATGCCTGGCTGGGAACAAACCATCTTATGAGTTTCCTTGCATTACAGGAAATAAATAAATAAATACATAAATAAATAAAAAAGGGAAATAAGAAAAAAAATGGATACAGTTCTGAGCCCCTAACCACTGGCTGGCGTAAGTTCACAGCAGGTCTTGCTCATTAAGAAGCACCTTCTTGGTAAACATAGGGCATTAGAGGGTTTGTGCGGGGCAGAGAGTGACTTTCCAGGTACAAGAATGTCAGAGAGTATCACAGAGGAAAAGCAAAATGGTACAACATAGCAACATTCAAAAACCCAACCTCCACCAGAAGTTTTCCGGACAAAGCCAAGTGTGATGAATGCTTAGTTCTTTCGCCTTGGCTAGCCTGCAACTGCGCACACCAGGAAGTAAGGAACACACCACAGGAGAGGCACGTGCAGAAGAAATCCTTCAGAACAAGTGCTATTTGAGGCGTGCTTAAGTTCACCAGGGCTCCTCTGCAGAACAGACTGATTTCAGGAAAAGTTGTGCTTTATTTTCAACTCAAATTCAAGGACTTATACTGATGCAACTTTAGAAACATTCTGGCAACAGGCTAAAAGCCAGCATGGCCCAGATCGCTAAACGCAAAGCCTCCACGTGGCGAAGCCCACCGCTGTTCCACGTGCACGGGCAGCATCAGCAGACGTGGAAGTGGACACCTTTGGCTTTTGGCTAAAGTCTGAAAATCCTCTGCCTTTCTCTTCGGATTTCTGGAGAAACAACAGCCTAATTCTTCCTGTTTCTTACCGAGGTAACAGTAAACTCACATTTAGGCCCTGAGAAATCCGGAACATGGCTTGGCCTATAATTAATCAGGGGAGCTGATTAGTAGCTGTTTTCTCTTGCAGCTTCATTAGCTCCCCGGAATGACTCACCCTCTGGAGCCAGGGGATGGCCTCCAAGAGGTGTCATGACACACAGAAGAAGGTACAGATGATAAAGGAAGGAAGCAACTGGAATGTTCCGAAATCAGTGTTCTTCTCTAAACTGATGTCGTATCTCAGTACACCACCCTGGAAGTGAGGAGATCACTCATTATTTCTGAATCATGGGTGAAATCCTCATTTCCTCTTCAGGTGCTGATGGACTGGAAATGCCCAGAGAGTCAGTGACCATGTGCTGAAGGCACAGCTGACAAGGAAGCTCATGAATATTGACAGGAGCAGAGGCGCAGAGACAGAAGGCTTCAGGGCCACTTCCAGTAGGCGTCTGCCACCCACGCCCTGACTCCTACCTTTGTGGTTGAAGATGCCCTCCATTTCCATGCTACTTCTGGAGTGGGCGATGCACAGTGAGCCACAGGGGACCAGGCCTTCGGCCGCTGGGGAGCGGTCAGTGGTCCGCACCAGACACCAGTCAGGCTTGTCGTGCGGCCGCTCCAGAACTTCCACGGTCTGGCCCCGTCGGATGGTCAGCTCGTTGCTGTTGCAAGCGGTGAAGTCGTGGATCACCACTGTCAGCTCACAGCCACCGGAGAGCTGAGGGGAACAGAGGAAGAGAGCACAGGTCAGCCAGTGTGAGCCACGGTGCCTTCAGGCACAGCTGGGAACTCCGTGAGGTGGGTGGAGAGCCTCCCCTGCCCCGGAGTGCGCTGAGTGCTCCGAGGCTATGCGATCACTGTGCTCCCCAGATGAAAATACGATTTTTCATAAGAGCTTCCAAATTTCTTGAACCTTAGACATTCTATTTCCTTCCTCACAAAGTGGTATTATATATACACTCATCTTTTACGGCAAACTGAAAGAAACTCTGCTTGAAGGCTATTTGGGGGATTATCATGAAATATGATGATAAAACGAGATAAAGTTCTGCTCCAAATTTCTGTTCCGACCCAGTGTTGGGTGTCCCATGCTTTGGAGTATGCAGGCTCTTTAAGCATCCCTTGGGTCAGGAAGGACGCAGCCACAAGAAGGGGACTGAACAGGCAGTGTGCTGCGACCCTGAAACCGAAGCAAAGCATGCCTGCCTGTCTTCAGAATCCTTCCAGCGCCCCCTCCTGCTTGTCCAGGGCTCCCCTTGGTGTGACTCCCAAGGCCCTGTGGTCTGCCCTCAGATTCCTTCTAGGCTCCCCTACTCCAGGCCTCAACACGCAGCAGCCACCACAGGCTCTGCAGACATTGGCTCGTTTCCCAGAGGTCCTGGATTTTCTGGCCTTCGGTTCCTCTAGCCTGACGTTCCTTTCCCTCCTTCTCTCCTTTCACCACGCTCACTCCCACCGACGCCTGCTGAAACTCTTCCGGGCCTTAGAAGCTCATCCATAAACTCTCTAACGACACATACCCCATGGCCTCTGCTGGTAAAACAAGTGCATGGTCTTCTCATGACTGTCTGCTTCAGATGGCCTGAGCCCTGGTGTGTGTTCCCTTAGACTGTAAACTCCGTGGGGACAGGGCTCATGTGCTCATTAACATCCCTCCTATCTAAGAATCTTTTCGTTTTTTTTCTACATAAGAATCCTGAGAGCAGCCCCTGGTCTCTGCACTGTCCCAGGTTCTGTCTCTGCTGTTTCTCCACTGTCCCTGCATGGGCTCTTCAACCACACCCTCAAGCTGACTCCTCCCGCGCTCGCGTCCCAACCACGGACGGCTTCCGGTCCCTGCTGAGCAACTGGATGCTTCCCTGGCCCCCCAGGGCAGAGTCTAGGACATGGCTCATGATGCCCTCCCACCCCCAACTCTCTTTTTCTTCTGGTGTTGCCTTTTGGGTAACAGTATCACCATCAAGTCACTCAAGCTAAACAAACCCCACTCTCCTCCCTCCAAATGCTGTGGAGCAGACGTTGGGCAGCTCTCCGATCACTTCCTTTCTCCGCACTCCCATACCAATCACTTCACTGGATCCCACAGGGGCTCCTGAGCGGCCTCCCTGACGGACTCCAGGTTCTCCTTCCAAGCCATCTAAACACTGCTGGCAGGAGACCTTCTAAAAACACATCATCCTCTTATGCAAAACCCTCACACACAAAGGCCTTAGCATAGGATGCAAAAGTCCCCCCAGCGGCCAGAAGCACCTCCTTCTTCCTCCTGAGGGGTCCTGCCTGTAAGTGGCCCATACCATCCCTTTTGCTGAAAGCGCCCCCGTCCCCTCTATTCTAAGCTCCCCACTGGCTCTAAGAGGTCCCTCTCGTGCCTGTCCTCCATGGCACCTCAATTCTGAAGTGAGCTGTGCCTGGAGTTACACATGTGTGTGTCTGCCCTCATCACCAGAAGCAGGTTCACCCCACTCTTCTGTGAACTTTCCATCCTTGGACTAGGAGGGCGGAGATGGGGCCAGGCACACTCACCCTGAGTCCCCCAGTGCCAATGGTGGTAGGCATGTGGCTTAGAGAAGCGGTTAGGAGTGGGACTCCTCCTCAGCCTGCCTCGCACCGTGCCCTGCATCCAGCCAGCATTCAAATATTTGTGAAATGAAACAGAAAAGACACGTAGCTCGAAAAATGAAGGCACTGCATCTGAAAACCCGAAACGAAGCCTGGATTTTCCTCACTGGCTTCAGGAGCTCACCCTGCCTGCGCTTAGCCTGCAGCCGCTCAGCTCTCCTCCGTTGCCTCCTGCTAAAGGGCAGTAGCCCAGACAAACCAAAGGCACACAAGAGTGTGCTGCGGGCTATGGGGCTGGCTGTGGGAATGAGAGAAGGCGAGGAGGGAATGGCCCAGCCTCCTGCTGGGAAACATTCCACTAGGCACAAGCCCACACTGGGCACAAGCCCACACCCAGAGACCCAGGAGTCCGCATCCTCCGACGGCTCACACTCGCGCTGTGTTCTGGGGCCACCCCCTTGTGCTGAGGACCTCTGGGAGCCTCTGCCATGCTCTGTGCTGTTGATTACCCTCGTGTTGTAGGAGGCTATCTTTTAAGAGAAAGTTCAGATATTCAGAATAAGAAACACATGTCCACTAGACAACCACAAAGATCAAAACAAAACCGAACTCTCCCATCATGAAGCACAGTATCGACAAAGTGAATCAGCTTTGCGAGGCCACAAGGAAAGTTTTCATAAAACCCCTTCTCAATCTTACAAGCTTCTCCGTGGAAAACCCATGCTAAATGTTACAGGTCTCTGAACAATCAAAGATGCTAATGTTAAAAACTCAAAGGTAGAGGCCCAGCCTGGAAAAGAACTTTCCTTGCAGAACCACACTCATGGAGTGGTTAGTCCTGTGACTTACAGCTGGGGTGCTTCCTGTTCCAGGAACACAGGACCGGTCTGCAGGCCCCGAAGGAGGGTCCAGATTGCCATGGTCCCCTGGACCCGCCCTTCCCAGGCCTCTGGGTCTGGCTAGAGCTCCCCAGTGATGCCACCTGCTGCTTCACTGAGTGCATGTGAGAAGCTCCCAGCAGAAACCCACGGGGCTTCCCTGACATTCTTCCAGCAGCCCCCACTCCCAGACGCTGGGAAGTGCACTGTCTCATCACCTGCCCTCTGGCTGCCTCATTCTCCAGAGTCTTATTCATTTTCCAGACGGCTCAAAGCCATGGGTTGCGGGTGGGGGAAGGGTGGGAAGGGGAGAGAGGGGCTGCCCAGGAAGGAGGATTAAGCTAGACTTTATTTCTGGCACTGATTTCTTAGGCCCTTAAAGAGTAATCAAAAACTATTGGAAATATCTGTGTACTTGACAGGACATAAGAAATAAAAATCAAGCATGTTCTGCCAAAGAATCATATACAGAGTTAAAATTCCTTTTTAAAGGCTTTTGAGAACTTGTTAAGAAAATCCAACAACAGAATAATATTTCAAACGGCACTACAATTATTTTAAAAATCTTCCTATCTCCCAGTAAATCAAGTGGCTTTACCCAAAAAGAGGGGACCCACACCACTAAGGGGAGGATTAAATGGGTGTTTTCCAGTCCAGAGAAGCGCTGTCCTGTGGATGTGCCTCAGTGCTCACATTTCAGTATTTTTAACTTCTTGCTACAAAACATCTTTGAAACCAGGTTTGCTAATTAAAAAAAAAAAACAAAAAAACTTTTTTGTGTACAAAAGACTTGTAATAACTACTTTGAGGAAGCAATGCAAATCGTCACTGCTTTTTAAGAAAAATTAAACTCCAAACTAGAAAACATTCAGCCACTATCTTGTATGTTACGTCTGACGGAGGTCTTGGCTTTCAGAGAATTTCTACCCCCCTTTGAAAGAGTTACCATTTTATTTATCTAGTTTAAAAATTTCCTTCTCTTTCTAACCTTATTCTGTGCGAGTTCTCACAGTATCTTTGTTGCTTCTGTATAGTTAGTGCGTTTCTATCATGGGCTCCCACCACATGCACTGAATTTAGGATTGCGATTTGTGAAAATCTCACTTTCCATGACTCACATTAACACTTGTGAGATTCATATCAGAAGACAGATTTTTTTAAAAACCTTCCAACTTTTCACTATTACAAAAATGAATGTGGTGACTAACAAGCATGACAACAAAACAGCCTTAACTGGACCAGGACCAGGGACCCGCCGCTGATGTGCCTCCTCCAAAGACTACACCATGTCCCTCTTTAGGCCCAGACATATGGACAATTAGCGAAATCAAATCGGTTCCTTTCCTGAATTCTTTCCAGAATGACTGAAAATAAACAACTTACTGTGTTTCACCCGAGAGAATGAAATACTCATCTCTGGTTGTAAGCATGTGAACCTTCAACAATTACCACACAGAACAGAACTCTACTTTTCATGTTTTCCAAAGAAACCATGTCATATCATCGTCCTGCACGAACACAGTTAATGGCTGTAACTAACAAGAGCCGTGGCCGAGGACTTTTCACACTGCGAGCTGTCACGTCTTCCTTTGCCCCTCAGAACTTCACCCCTGCCCTGGACACTACAACAAGGCCTGTGTGGCTCAGGAACATACGGCTCTTGATAGACAGCGGCGACACCTGGTTTGAATCACCAAGCTCCATGATGAGTTCTGGGGCAAGCTCTGCCTAAGGAAGGGGGGCTCTCTAGGACTGTGTGGTGGGTGCCGCAGTCTTTGCTGCAAACAATTCCACTTCAAGAACAAGAGTCTAATGTGGTAAAGATCAATTGCAGGTGGGTTCTGACCAATTTTCTGAGAGCAATTCAAAAGCAAAAGGGGAATGTAGCCTAATAAAAGCCATTTTCCCCTAAAGAACAAAGTGTATTAACTCCCGTGAACCGTCACATCCTACAGCCCACTAGAGTTCAGTCATTCAGAAACCTCACAAAAGGGTCTTGCGGTTCTGTGAAGGTTTCACACAGAGTAGGCCAAAAAACGATTACTTGGTTAGAGGGAATTAGAGAGTACAGTGCTATTACTAGCAACGGTTACCAAAAAAGGGCAACTATAGGCAGCCAGAACAATTTCCCTAACAAATGCTATTATGCCCCAGGCTCTCACCCACCCAAGCTTCTCCACAGGGCAACTTCACAGAGACCGGGGCTGATCAGCAGCCATTCTAACGTGAACAACAGGCCCTCCGTGCTCACGCCAACGCCAAAGCCGCTTTACATAAGGCC